CACGGGCGTTTATCTTCTTATTATACTGGCGGCAACCAACATCCATTCTGATTGCATTTACTCGTCTCCCTACTTCGTATTTCTTTCCAGAAAATCTCCCCATACAGCAGGGAGTCGTTTACATAATATGGCTCCCTGCTCTACATCTACATGACTGTATAATTATACGTTATAGTTATTATGGTATCCGCCTGCATGCGATTCCCGGGCAGGTCGACAGGCGGCCCAGCCAGCCTGCTAATGGGATCTCGGCCTCGCACACAAATCCACACAAAATGTTACTGCACTGAATGCATTCCCCCGATACACTTCGCATATATACTAATGTCTTATTCTCTTGATGGTACCGTACTCTTGATGGTACGGGACAGGTACGGGATAGCGCCAGGCATGTCGATGGCATAAACACACAAAAATATTGTGGCCAGCTGTCTTTGCTGGTACGGTACAGTACGGGACAGATACGGGATAGCGCCAGGCGTGACACAAACAAACAAACAAACACCAAATTAAAGCTGTGTGGACCCTGGCTAGCGCCAGACGTTACTGAAGTAACGTCTTCTGCATAGCTACGGGAATTAAAGCTGTGTGGACCCTGGCTAGCGCCAGACGTTACTGAAGTAACGTCTTCTGCATAGCTACGGGAATAATAATATTAAAGAACTAAAGACTAAAGACTATAAAATTAATGACGGGAAGTGCCAGCTTCGGCAGCAACTAGGGAGGCAGAAGAAGAGAAAGGTGCATGTACACTCAAACGCCTCTTATCCGGACGCCTCAGATACGGGCACCTTCAGCTTGAGGGCCTATAGCACAAATGCTTCGAATTGGCTTTGAACTTTTTTCCGTGTGTGGAAGTGCTTATGTTTCACTGCCAACCTATGTAATCCACACATTTTTATCCTCAGCATGTGCAATACGTGGCAAATAAACTTCTTCAAAAAATGATATCATTTTTATCAAAAAATGATATCATACATAGTAGGTGAGTTATTCTGAGACACGGGCAAATCTGAGATACGGGCAGTGCCCGGTCCCAAGGTGCCCGGATAAGAGCCGTCCGAGTGTACAGCGAAAACAGAGCGGCTACCAAGCAGGCACATGACACTTGCTCTGAGCAACGCAAAGCTAAGGCGGCAGCGGATGAATGCCATAACCCCCTTTAAGCTGTCTCCACAGGATAACATGATTCCGTAGACGAGCATATTTCCGTGTTTTGGCGTTCATTCGTGTTTGCGAGAAATTTTGTATAAAACCTGCATAATCCGTGGGAATGTACAAGAAAACAGTACATTATGCTGAAAATATACTACAAAGTTGTACCCTATTGAGGCTACAATAAGTTTGTACAACGAAGTTGAAAAACTTGCATGAAACTGTACACAATAGTTGTACCAATGACAGATAAAGCCTGGTTCACATTCGACGCAACGCTAACGGTACGGGACGTAAAGGCCGATTCACAATACAACTTTCTGCGACGCGACACGCGATTTGCGACAGTTGTGACAAGTCGCGAGCTGGCGCAAGCAGTCGCAAGGCACCTGTCGCAGAAGTTGAAGAAAGTTCAACTTTTGCAACATGCGATGCGCGACATACACAAATGGAGTACAGTTTCTACATACACAAATGGAGTACAGTTTCTACCCTGGGTGCAGGTGCAGGTGCATGGTGCTAGTAGTGCATACCGTAGTGACACGCATATAAGCGCATGTGCCTATACCCGGGCATAAGCCACGGCTGTCAAGAAGCGGCAACTTAGAAAGATGGCGTCGGTTCGAGATGGCATGGTAACCGCGCACGTGCCGTGGTCCGTGACTTGCTCATGTATGCACGCAAATGCAAGTCACAAATAATTCACAAAGATCGTCTTTGCATTTGGAGAAAATATCTTCGACTCTCTTTGGAGGTTGGCGAGGTTTGCCTAATCTTTACTTGATTGCGATGCCGGTATGTCCTGTCAATAATTAGAACAAAGAGAACTGATGATCGCTTCATTCCTGAGCAGAAGTAACAATCAACTCTCCTCATGTCCTCAGTGCCAAAGGCAGATGACTGCAATTCCACAACGCTCATCACGATGATGGAAACAATAATCGTGTACTAGTACACACTTGGACCATTTGGTCATCCCTATTCTAGCCGCTAGTCCGTCCAGCAAGCAGATATTGACTATTACGATAAGGACAACTGCGTGAACGAGGGCTCGCCCAGCAACTGATACAATTCAAGTCGCGACTCCAGTCAAGAATTAGGGTCTTTACTCGAGAACTTCACAAATACAGGCCAAGGCACCCCACAAAACTGATAGATGGCACGAACGAAAGACAAATAGGCTAGACAAAGTGTCCCAAGTGATTGAAAACAGCAGATCTACCAAATAAGACAGCTACATGTGCCTAAACAACGATTCCCATACAGTAGAGAGTAGTATCAGGCTGAATGAAAGCCTTGGAAGTGCACAAATACAGCCACGACCGCCACAAAAATTGGACGACCGCCACAAAAAAATTCTCATTGCTCTACCTCCTTGAAGGATGAAAGTTACCAGTTATCCTATAGCGATGTCAGTTTATGCCTGTTGGAACCCCCCACAGCCCGCACGAAATACCTTTCAAATAATTCCAGGATGCAATTGCAGCTCCAGACAGGAGGAAGAAGAACACCGTGAAAAATAACGGCAACGATGCCCAAACTCTCAGGAAACGGCTGAAGTCTTCCTGAAGATGTTAACATTGAATAGCCATCGATTACCAGCGTGGTTTGGTGACTTTAGAACTGTTTTGAGACTTAGAACGAAGCGATATCTCAAATTTGATGGAATTGTTACCTGTCAAATGCGTGGGCGAGCAGGCCAGCTGACTGGTTATGCATGAACATGCATGAGCATGCATTAATTTTTCATGGTTCACGTGCAGAAAACTAAGTTGCCGCGATCCAAGTGCAGCTAACAGCCGTGAAGCGCACCCTCCCAAATACGCGCATGGGCTTATTTAAAAAGAAAAGTAAATTATCGTGTCCATTCCCAAAGGGAACTCACGACGGCCGCTAACACCCGATAAACCCTAATGGGCTTATAAGTGAACCTAAATGCAATTCCATCCGTGACACACAGACACCACAAAAACACCATGTTCACATAGTTCAATGTGCATTGCGGTGTGTATTGTACTATGTGCATAATTACGCAAGGTGCCGGTATGCTAGCAGCTCAAGCAGATGCGCCTATGTGTGAGACAAAACGACCCGCAAAAAAATAGCAAATTACGCAAAAACTCAATCATAAGCGCATGTGCCTTTATGTGCGTCACTACAGTAAGGATGTCGCAAACATGAAAAAGATTGTGAACCGTGTGTCACTGTCGCAGCTCGTCGCAGGTGTCGCGTTATCTTGGGAAGCACAGTGTTCGAAATGCTAAAAATCTCCAAGTACGAATCGGGAGTAGTCGGTGCACGACGCCGTCTTCTGTTCGTACTCGAAATGCAGCCGTTTTGTACGCTTGCGTCCCCGCAGACGGTATGAAAAGTAGAACAGAGTCAACTCTTCCCGTCGCTTCCCGATCCGTACGGTAGTACGGTTGCGTTCCTGTTCCTGGTGTTCACATTGGACGCCGTCAGACCATCCCGCCGCTCATTACGCCGCGTCCCGTCGAATGTGAACTAAGCTTAAACCCTGCATAAAGCCAAGTTCACATTCGACAGCGCGTGACGGGAATCGTACAAGATTTTACAGCTCACCCAGCCGTCCCCCGACAAGCCCTTACGTCCCGTACCGTCAGTGTTGCATCGAATATGAACCAGGCTTTATTACCGCATTATACTGCATAATGACCTGTTTTCGCCCGTTTTTGATTAAAGGCGGGCTTATAAGCATAATTATAAGCCGCTTTCTGCATCAGGCTTTAATGCAAACCATGCTTATATGCACCACTGATATTTTTGCTACGCGCGACGTGCGTAGATCTACCATTGACTACCGGTATGGCGGCAGTTTTACTATGCACCGTACATAGCGCATGCACTCTTGACCTACCCGATCCGCGCTTGCATAGAAGCCAGGCTTCTACGTGCCACAGGCTTATATGCATTTGACCCGTTTGATTTTCAGGCTTCTATCCGCGATGTGTTTGTATGCAAACCCGGCTTTTATCCGCGACTTTACGGTATGCGCATACTTAAGGATTTCGTCCGCGTTATTCTGTGGGGACAGGTCAAGTGTCAACGCACCACACATGTTTCCTTGTACAAGATCAAACCGGATTTGTCCAGCACAGGTCCAGGATAGGTCTGACTATACATGTACACTGCGCATTGCATCATACAAATGATGTCAACTTGAAATTCCCATGGTGGAGTTGCAAACTCTTGGGGGTTACGTACTCGTGTTATTTAATACCAGTACATAATACCAAGAGTACATAAACCAGAGTGTGCAACTCGGGATGGTTCCTGTGGGAGCGTAATTCGTGCAGTACGTCATTTCTGACGGCATGGTAAGCCACAGGTACGGTGAGAAGTTGCGTAACCAGTCACGGTGGTGCAGGTCACAGAGTTTGTCCTGATTTCGGTTTTTTGATACGGATAGCCTGGTGAATGTACTTGTCGGTGGATGTACGCAGCGTCCACAGTCACACAAAAACACCGAAATCCTGAAACAGGACGTCTAAAATCAAGCAAACTTGGCTGGTTTCCGGGCTATGAAACACGAAAATTTGAGCTGTACGCAAGTCGCGGCTTGGCTGACCTCATCAGGGTGACGTAGTGCATGAACTGCGCTGTTTCAGATCTGATATGCACAGTTGCACACTCTGGTTTATGTACTCTTGATAATACACGTGCCGGGTATACCCAGTTTATACTACATCTGCTGTAAGAGACCATTTGCAGTGAACAACCAGTTTTGCAGGTTTGGTTGCACCAAAGGCCAGTCGCTTATGACAGATTTGAATGCCGTCAATCTTCTTGCATAAATGTGAGAATAACTCGATCATTTCACTAACCTGGCTTTTCGGGTGGCCAATCACGGGATGCTACAAGGAATCGTTCCAAAGCAAGTCTCCAGTACTTTGTGTCACCTTCGCTGTCCGCAAGTTCGTCAGGCCACTCGCAAACAAGATCCGTGAAGTCCCCATCCCAGATATCATCCGCCCATTCCTTCGAAATCAATTGAATTCGAGCATCCAGCAGTCGTTTGGCATGTTCAGAGGGACAATCACTTGACTGTGACATCGCTCATCATTGAATAAGACTAAGTACTATTGTCCCCTGATGGTTTTCTTCTACAACTGGGGCCGCCACTAGACCAATAGTATGGCAATACTGCGACATGTACTGGTATGTAGAACGTGTTTCAACTACATAAGCATACCAAGAAAAAAGAGCAATTACCACTGCACTCTGCAATCTGCAGCCTTCTGGAACAGTTCTGATTTGACTTGCCAAAGACTTTTTTTTTAGTCAGTCGGACTCAAGGTAAAAGCTGGAATGTACTTGTAGCTGCTTTACAACTCCCGCCAAAATGAAACGCGCATGAAAAAAACTACTTCAAAAAAGCCTAGTACAGCTGTACAGACTACACTGCATGCTGCTCAATGAAATCCAGTCTAGTCGCGTCACTCAAGTTTGCGCCTCGCATCATTCCGCAGCCCAGTGTTCGTAGGTCTAGGACTGCGCGACGCCCGGCGCGTACTTGAGTGACATGATTGGGTTCCATAGTTTTCTTTTACGGTATTATAATTTCACGGAGAAGGCGGAGAGCCCGAACGTGTGCAGTTTTATGTTTATTATTTGCCATGGCGACCCCCGTAAGTCCAAAGCGATATTCATGTTAAAACAAAATGGCGTCACGATTTATTGAAAGTGGTATAGTTGGTGGTACGAGTGTTCAAAACCATTTGAACTTCATACTGTTCGTCTTCTTTTTGACATGCTCTCTTTCCATCGTCCTTAGCTTTTGTTTGTTGTGAGCTGTTTTGGCTTTCTCCTGTACCTCTGGGGGATGCCAAGTGATGGTTTTGAGAGGCTGGTGATGGCTGTGAGCGAGAGTTTGCCGATCGGCGTCGTCCTCGCTGTAGCGATGAAAATACTAGTTACTGCGCACCTGGCAGATATCACAACACGTCGGAGCGTCCAGGAGCAAAGGAATCTTGGGTTTCACTGGAATCTAGTTCCTCCAGCATCGTGTAGCCCACCGTCGGTGAATGGCCGTCCAGAAAGGTCGAACCTGGTCTTCTGCAGCACCTCGCAGTCCTGCGAGGCACACCGTGTACGCCTGCCATGTATTGTACAAATATAACTCATGCAGTAGTGGGCTCTACAGTGATGAGTCTCAGCCTGTATGCTGCAAAAGACACAGGAAATGTGACTGGTGTCTGTACACTCAGTGACTGGACGCCAACACCCTAGTCTTCTCCTGCAGGATCTGTTTGACATTGACATTATGCAGTAGGTCGGCATTGACCTGGTTTGGTAGCTATCGTAATAGTATCTGCCTGGTTGGATGTAGCAGGTTGGCGTTTGCTCATCGTCCAGTCCGGAATTTTCTTGTAACTCACGGTGGAGTACGCGCAGGGTTTGTGATCATCCCAGGACCCTGTTCACTTCAATATTATCAAACACAACGTTCCCTTTGTCCCTCATCTTATCCTAAGTACTGAATTTGCTGACAATATTGCACCACACTTGTCACAACCTACCGCCACTGCTGGCGGTGGCGACTGGTTCGTCAATGGCGGTGACCAGGCTGACTGACTAGCTTCGAGACAGCGGCCTCGTTGTCAACCCCGCGACAGCCTAAAGGTTGATTTTATCGATCCGGCCTCAGCGCCATGTTGACGATGCCCTAGTGACTGTGTGTCATGGATTGCCTTGCCATCAGCGGTCATTGCCGTCCACCTTGGTGCAGCCCTCAACAACTGGCTCAGCCCATGGGAGTCTCAAGTGGACAAAGTTGTTGCCAAAGTAGCTCAGAAGATTGGTGCATCGTGGTGTAGGTGAGCACATAACTAGGACTTCCCAGCGCCTATTTGTCCAGGCTGCGATACTATGTGACATGCTGTACTGCACATTCTTTTCAGCACTGCAAGGCCGGCAGCTGGACCGACTGCAGGGGCCGCGCACATGCAGGCCGCATGTTGCCAGTGCAGCATTCTGGAACGTTCCTTCCTTCTGAGATCTGTGGAATAATAACTTTCTTTGCTTCAAAGCAAGTTGCTTACCTTTCTGTTGTGCTCCCAGTGTCCTTACAACAATAACCTACAGCAATGTTTTATTTTCCTTTCCATTCCCCAACCAATGAATACTACAATGTCGATTCTATTTCTGAATACGTTAGTGTGTGCCCGCGCACGCACGTGTGTGTGTGTATACCTCACTCGCCACTCGAAGTTCTGTTCCCCATTACTGGAACACTGCCTGTTCTTTCAGGACCTGCCATCATCTGCGGATGGGCATTCAATGATTGTATTGTGTGTGTGTGTGTTTCATTCAGAATCAGATCCGCTATCGTTGCTATAAGAGAAAATCTGTGGGTTCACATCCAGTGCATTTGTAGATTTGCGTGCTTTTCTCGCCACGGGCGCATACATGGGACATTGTGTGTGTGTGTGTGTGTGTGTGTGCGTCTGTGTGTATGGGGATATTGTCTGTATCGGCTTTTGGTACTAATGTTCAGGTCTGTGCTTGCATGTGTGAACATGAAATTGTTCGGTTCTGTGCATGCTATTGCTATGTTGTATATTATTGTATGTATGTGTGCATTTCCACGAACAGTGTAGATGAGCGTGGAGAGTGCATTCATCCCTCATCAACCACTTCCCCTTGGGCTTACGAGAGTTTTTTCTGCGTACCTCTCATTTTTGTTTGTTTCTCTCTGATACTGTATTGATGCCGGTACCTGTACCTCGATGTGCATCTGCAGTCGCCTTTATCCTTCGGTCAAGTTAACGTTATTGTGCTCTATTTATCGTGCGAAAAAAAGAAACAATAATAACACAAGTCATGCTAGAGTGACGACATGTGCGTGTAGTAGGGTTGATGCGATGGGACGTTATAATTAGGTGGAACAGAACACACATTGGGCAGATTGATTGGGCATCATTGATTGTGCTCAGTCTAAACAGTGAACATAATAATTATCTCCAGTGACAGACTGTAGTGGCTAGCCTCCAAATTCCAATAGGTAGCTGGCACTAGTCCTACTGCTTGTTTGACAGGTGCCGCCAGAACCCCTGTTGTGTCATGCTAGATGCACATGCCCTATTCTGGGGCATACTGAGGTACTTTGATTTTGTTGACTGCATGTAGACAGCATCCAATAGTAGTACTCGTAGACCTTGGCTCTTTGAAGATCAACCACCATCGCATGGATCGATCGGTGACTATGCACTTGGAGGTTGGAATAGCCCGCGCTGAACAGATCTTGCCATGGCCCAGGGAGTGAATTCGCTTACTCGACTATCCCGGTTTTAGTTAACCAGCATGAGTGGTGCAATTTGTCCATACCATGTTGCGAGCTCACAGTTGTTTGGGCAGGTTTTGAGCTGCACCACGAAACAAAGCGAAATAACGGCGTGACTGTAGAGCAAGGAAGCGGCGAGACGGCACTTCCAGGACGAGACAGGCAGTAGAGATGTGTTCACAGCACGAGCAACCTCTCAAACCCTGCCGGTACTCCACAGTTACAAGAAAATGTCGGACTGGACGACGCGCCAATGCAAACCTGCTACATCCACCCAGGCAGATAGCTGCCAAACCAGGCCAATGTCGACCCACTGCATACCGGTATGTCAATGTCAAACAGATCCTGCAGGAGAAGACTGGGATGATATTGGCGTCCAGTGTACGGACACCAGTCACATTTCCAGCATACAGGATAGACTCATGATCAGACATCACTATAAAGTCCACTATTTTCGCGATTTTTATTTGTAGAATACGTGACAGGCGTATTCAGTGTGCCTCGCAGGACTGCGAGATGCTGCAGAAGACCAGGTTCGACCTTTCTGGACGGCCATTCACCGACGGTGGGCTACACGATGCTGGAGGAACTAGATTCCAGTGAAAACCCAAGATTCCTTTGCTCCTGGACGCTCCGACGTGTTGTGATATCTGCCAGGTGCGCAGTAACTAGTATTTTCATCGCTATAGCGAGGACGACGCCGATCGCCAAACTCTCGCTCACAGCCATCACCAGCCTCTCAAAACCATCACTTGGCATCCCCCAGAGGTATAGGAGAAAGCCAAAACAGCTCTCAACAAACAAAAGCTAAGGACGATGGAAAGAGAGCATGTCAAAAAGAAGACGAACAGTATGAAGTTCAAATGGGTTTGAACACTCGTACCACCAACTATACCACTTTCAATAAATCGTGACGCCATTTTGTTTTAACACGCATACGGTCCACTGGCAAGTGGCAGGGCAGGGTTGGGCCTTTTTCTTTCTTCTCGGATTTATTTTCATGACATGCTCACTGATTTAAAAAAAAAAAAAAAAAAAAAAAAAAATTGGGTTCCAACTTCCATTATTGTGCAGCACTGTAGTTAGGGATCTCAGCGCGTGCACTGCGCATGCAGTTCGCGCATGCAGCCAAACGCGCATCAGAAGTGGCATGCAGAATTTTTGCCAAACACTGGCTATTTTTTGCAGAAAATTGAGACCTTGAACGAAGGAGAAATGGCTGAAATTTCCTTGCAAGGAGATGGTGGTTACAGGCTACCTGCTTACCAGAATGGGATCTTGTTTGGTATGTTGGCCGCCCATGTGTTCTGGAATCGATTTGTAGCTTTCGTTGGAAGGCGCGAAGCCGTTTTCGTTCCAAACGACAGGGTTCTTTCAGAGCGGAAAATGGCGACCATGCCGATCGTTGCCACGATCTCCGAGTTGAAAATCTCTGGATTTAACCGGGGAAAAGCTCTGGATTCAATGGTAAACCCGGCAGAAATACTTGATGTTGGATGTTGAGAGTTTGTAGGAAATTTGACCGAAGCGTTCATGCTCCACGTGACGGTGTTCGTTCTTGTGAATTTCTGCATTTCTGACATATCGCCGTGCATATGGGCCGTTGTTCCAGAGACATCGATTGTCAGGTGTGGACAGGGTTTTGTTCGAGTAGTCGTGTGGAGACGTGGTTTGGTTCTCACAGGCAACAGGAGCGGCTCCTCGGGATGGCGAAAGCCAAATCTACCCAAAGCCGACTTCACGATCGCCGATCTTCTGGCGGCGCATTTTCACTTATGCTCTGCAACAAGCGGCACAAGCTGTGGAAATCGTCAGATGATATTAGCCTATCAGTGTGCCCAGAACTTCTAGTGACTCTACTGAAGCATTAGCTTGAGTAATCTTTCTTTCTAGCCCTCTCTTTCTCTCTCTCTCTCCCTCTCTTTCTCTCTAAAAATGTTCCAAACTTCAAAATCTAGGTCGAGCTGCATCGGGGAGTCGTCAAATAGCGACTCACTGAGCCGGTTTTTGGCGATCGCCATTTTCTTTCAGTCTGCCATCGCCGCGTTGAAAAATCGATTACATCATTGAATGCGCAAAGCCCTGCGCAGTGTCCGCGCTGACATCCCTACTGTAGTACGTAGATCTACTAGCGCTATGCTAAGCGTACACGTACCGGTATTGCAATGTACCCTTGGCCTTGGCCTTGCTGAAAATGACAATAATCATTTAAATTTTTGATGATTCAAAAATTATTTTTAAATAATTTTCATCACGCGCATGCATACCGCGTACCGGTACCCTTGGTGAAATGACGCATGACACTTCAGCGCGGGTACCGGGTACCATGGGTACGGATGTTTATGTACCCAACATCAACATACATCATAATCATTGATACTACCTACACATCAGGGAGTCGTCAAATACCAAGTAGTATTTGACGACTCCCTGCTACACATAGTACTGTCGAATAGCGGCTAGTAGTAATCTGGTAATAGTAGTACAAAAATAATACGGTACGTACCACATGACGTACAGTCATGTATTACAGTGAGACGTATCATTGTTTGTAAATAAATTATTTTAGCGAATCATTATGGTGAACCGGTCACAGGCGCGAAGAGGTTGGCAAAAAGTTATTGAAAATAATAAAACTATGCTTCCAAAGTTCCATGCACTAGTTGTGATTTGATGTGAGGTGTGGAGAGTACTGCACTGGACGACTACATCATGGATATCTGCACTCGTTTGCGAAGGTCACCTCTGTTCCGAGCTATACTGTTGCTAGTTATCGTTGTCCCATTGTTGGTGATGCTGTATACCGGCGGAGAAATATCATCAGGCAGTCACTATGATACTTCCAAGCATCATCGCTCACGGTTGTCCTCCGAGAAAAGGTTGGAGGATATGCTACAACGCCATCGTGATTTCCTTGGTGAAGCAGATGCTGTGCTTGGTAGCCTGGGAAACCGCTCATCGATGTTATTATTAGCTGAGAGTGAGAGCAAAAAAACAATATATCGAGCAAGCCAGAAGAGCAGCGGCACAGTAGAGAAAAACCGAATTGGAAGTAGCGGGAGTGACAAACATAACAGTAGTCACGCAGAGTGTATAAACATTCTATTCATTTTGACTGATATCCGAGGTCGGCGAGAAAGCTCAGCACATCTCTTTCTCTCATCGTTGTTGAAAAGCAGTAATGCGGCACTATGCTGTCACGTCATTGCAGACACTTCTGGAGAAAAAATTGCGAATGCATTCCTTTCACCGCGACAAGCACAAATACAGACCATCTTCTACGATAGTGAAGCTATAGCCAAGCGGGTGTCAGCATTTGTGACTGATCTTCGCTCAAGCTTTTCATCTGGCCCTGGTAACTATTTCAACAATGCAGTGTTCTTCATCGCCCCAGTATTACATGAACTGCTTCCCGCGGGCACTTCAAGCAATGCTGTCGAGCGTGTCATCTTTCTGGACACAGATCTAAAACTACAAGCTGACATAGCGGAGCTGTATGATGAGTTTGAGCATTTCAAACCTGGTCAGTTGGTAGGTATGGCTTATGAAAACCAGCCAGTCTACAAACATTTGCTAGCTCAATACACGGCATTGCATCCTGACAGTTGGCTGGGTCGCCCATACCCTAACGGTATTATTGGTTATAATTCTGGTGTCATTCTTCAAGACTTGAAAGCAATACGCCAGAACAAAGAGTACCTTTCATTGCTGATTCCCGCCAAGATCAAACAGCTGTTGGATAAGTACATGTTCAAAGGACATCTTGGCGGTCAAGATCTCTTCACTCTTATTAGTCTGGACTACCAAGAGTTCTTCTATCGTCTACCTTGTCAGTGGAATCGGCAGCTGTGCCGATTCTGGCAGAAGGGCTATGAGGCGATATTTGACAAGTATTATCAGTGTGATGTGCCGCTTGTCAAGATCTACCATGGAAACTGTCAGACTTCTATCCCCAATCAGTGATGACTTCTATCCCCAATCAGTGATGACTTCTATCCCCAATCAGTGATGACTTCTATCCCCAATCAGTGATGACTTCTATCCCCAATCAGTGATGACTTCTATCCCCAATCAGTGATGACTTCTATCCCCAATCAGCCAGCACGGTGATGACTTCTATCCCCAATCAGTGATGACTTCTATCCCCAATCAGCCAGCACGGTGATGGATCCTTTTGCTGGTAGGTGCCGTACAGTCTGCAAAATCCTTGCAACTTGTGTGTATCTAGCATGCTGAGTTCACACGTAGCAGTCATTTCGTCATGATCTAGTATTAGACGACTGGCACATAAAATGAAATCTTTTTGACAGCCATTTCTAGTCTGGGTGGTACGGATTTGGATCTCTTTTGATATACAGATTATTTAAGCCGACAGTGCAGTCAAGATTATAGATGTTTTGTTTGTTTTTTAAACGTTAGGCCAGCATCTATACCACGCGAAATCTGTGATCACTTTGTGCATACCGAATTTCCGAAATTGAGCGTCCACTATCCAATCACTTCGAAATCTATAGTTATGAGAACAAGTTAGGGGAACTACAGTAAAACCTGTAATGGCGACCACTCGGATATGGCGACCACTCGGATATGGCGACCACTCGGATATGGCGACCACTCGGATATGGCGACCACTCGGATATGGCGACCACTCGGATATGGCGACCACTCGACCATGGCGACCACTTTTCCTTGTCACGGACGCATTCACATTCAAAACAGCTCGGATAAGGCGACCACTCACTCAACGCGACCGACGACCACCCACCCGCGACCGCGTTGCACAGTGCTAGTACATGTAAATGTATACATTGCATGGTGCACCATGCATGGTAGATCTACACATCAGTGCAGGAAGTGTAGATGTGCATGGTGCATGCACGACACTTGACAGATCTGAAGACCCCAGGCATATGAGTCGTGCTAGAGTAGCATAGGTGTGTGCAATGTGATACACTGATCAAAATGATGTATCACATGTGGATATGGTCACGTGACCCACTGAACCTGGATAAAAAGATCACCTGGCCACGGCGACCACTTTTTCTCGTCCCTTGAGTGGTCGCCTTAGACAGGTTTCACTGTACCTAAGCTATACTTATTTCCGTAGCTACAGTGTGTATGCAAAAGACTACTTCAGTAACGTCTGGCGCTAGCCAGGGTCCACACAGCTTTAATTTGGTATTTGTTTGTTTGTGTGTTTGTGTCACGCCTGGCGCTATCCCGTATCTGTCCCGTACCGTACCGTACCATCAAAGACAGCTGGCCACAATATTTGGGCTTTCAAATGCAAGATCATGACATGAAGCAATTTGGAAGAATAAGTATGTGCCGTAAAGTCGCGGATAAAAGCCGGGTTTGCATACAAGCACATCGCGGATTGAAGCCTGAAAAATCAAATGGGTCAAATGCATATAAGCCTGTCGCGCGTAGAAGCCTGGCTTCTATGTAAGCGCGGATCGGGTAGGTCAAGAGTGCATGCGCTATGTACGGTGCATAGTAAAACTGCCGCCATACCGGTAGTCAGTGGTAGATCTACGCATGTCGCGCGTAGAAGCCTGGCTTCTATGCAAGTGCGGTGCATAGAAGCCTGGTTTGCATTAATGCCTGATGCAGAAAGCGGCTTATAAAGTTATATGCTTATAAGCCTGGCTTTTATCCGCGGCTTTACTGTATGCGAAGTGTATGGGGGGAATGCATGCAGGGCGATAGTGCAGGTTCGAATCCTAGGTTATGTCTTGAAAAAAATAGGAGAAATCAAAAAAATTATAACATCCCTAAAAGGCGAAGAGACAATAATTTGATAACCGCAGTCAATAAAATGAGCTGAACCGACATCTGTGTACTTTATTCATGCAATGTAAAAACGGTGGAGACTATGTGCAATAAAACGATGAAAATAGGAAGAAATGGTGTAGAGAAAAAAGAAATGGATTCAAACAAGTTTTCATACAACACTCATCAGGAATCGTCGTTGTACCAAAGGACACTGAAACGAAATTGAACTGGTTTTTACATTGCATGAATAAAGTACACAAATCGGTTCAGCTCATTTTATTGATTGCAGTTATCCCTAAAAGGCTTTGCTTTTTTGCTTAGGTCATCAAGGTGGTAGATGGTGTCGTATTACCCTCAAATGCAAAGAGGAAGTTTATTTCTTTCGCTCAGGGCCCTACGCTATGCTTTTTTGCCTAGCTCATCATGAATGTTGTTCGAACAGATGGAAACTTTTGCAATACAATGATGTAGCCGATCAGTTCGTTGTGGTATGGTTGGGAATTGTAGCCATTATTGCTTTTCTGGTTTTAGAGTTCGTATCGGAGCAGCCATTCTGCAATTCAAAGCGAGCCGTCATGGTTGACGTAAAACACTATTTACATACACAAGCTCGGGGAGCAAAAGTCTCTCTGTCCCATAAGCTGCCACAGACCAACTAAAAACAAAACCATGCACTTAACACGAGCTGACTTGCACGCGTGGCCCTTTTCACGAACCCAGACAAAGGGATTGGTCTATTATAACGCATGTACAAAGTCACTAGATTACACCCGCACCAGAGATGAAGGCGACAGTGCCAGACATCAATACGGTGTTGTACGGTATAAGGATGTCGTATAGCATGTCGTACAACAGTACGATGAAATTGTGGGAGAAACCAGCGACCGCTTGGGAACGATGAACATTACAACAGTCTTATTGTGAGTGATAGTCAGGCCAAGTTTCTGAAGATCAGTAGCGAGTGCTATCCCGAGCATTATGTTAGCATTACGAAAGCATAGACAGAATGCGTATTACAGGAGACTCAAGTTGCTGAAGACCAGTAGTCATTGCTGATAACGTGCAGAAAAAAACTAAATCTGCAGCCTCTTTTGCCGTCGGAAAGGATGTGTATTATAGGAGACTGTAAAGGTATGTAATGTGCTCCACAGGCAACCATGCATTCGGCCGTCAGCAACAGTCAAGCACAAGCACACTATCAAGGCAAGGACATTATTGTATCGTATTGTATGGAATATAATTTCACCTCATTGGCTCAACAGGTCAATGTATTACAAAAAGGCCAGAAAATCCGATTATAAGGAGATAAAGAGGAAAAGAAGGAGCAAACCAAAAGTGGATGAAGTGAGAGAAAATAACAATCCGCAATAAATTCTGCAATTACTTTTGCCTAACTCTTATTCAAACTGATTGAAACATTTTTGCAATACAATGATGTAGCCAATCAATGGAAAAAACATTTCCATCAGTTCTAATGACATGCACGATGAGCTAGGCAAAAAAAGCATAGCGTATGGGCCCTGAGCTTCCAAGCTCTCTCGTTCTGAAGAAGTTTATGAAAAACTCTCACCAAATTTGAATTATTTGGAAAAGTCTAGAGGCCTGGACTTATGAAACATCGTGACTTTTGGCGAGTTTCTATTCGCAAAACTAACTTGCTTGATGGAATGATGGTACACATCAACAGTCACATATTATGTCGAAGCTCACCTCTATAGATGAAAAATGTGCATTTCTGGAAGGAGTGCGTGAAGATCATCACTTTAAGCTGTACATCCACCCCCCTGCCTAACTTCGCCTTGTTTGGTACCGTGCATGGATTGCAGCTTAGATGGTATGCTCTATTTGTGTCACACACATGTATACATGTAGTTTATACACATCATTACTACACCTGCTGACATCAGTAATAAACATTATTATTATTTGGTGCACATTGTTGCATGCTGATGGGTCGATGGCGCGCCCAAGGACTTTCATGGCTGCGACAAGATATAACTGGGGTTACCCTTGGAATCTGAGGCTCTCTCTCTCTCTTGCCTTCCGCCCTTGAGGCTGAAGCTCGTTGTAGCTTTCTCCTCTTGCCGCTTTTTCTTCAACAGAAAACTAGCCCTGTGCTCCCGTTCTTATTGTGTCTTGACCATACTAAGTTACCTTCTGAGAATATGTGAGCTATCCTGGACACTTGCGTGAGTGCATGTGTGTATATGCCTGTGTATGTGTGTGTGTGTGTGTGTGTGTGTGTGTGTGTGTGTGCGTGTGTGCGCCCGCTGCTTTCGGACTGCGCAAGGTTGCGGTCGTCACCAGTGCTCGAGGACTGGTCCCCGCTGAATGCCCAGCAGCGTGATTCGGTCAGTCATATTATACGTGTGTTCTCGCCGGTTCCGTTTGCCCCACCACCTCCAGCGTCATCAGGCTGAGTGCTCCACCTTCCTTTCTCACGCCCCTCCGGGGCCCACGTGACCCTGTGGTAGTGGCTCTACAGGACAGGACAGGTGTGTCACTGTGTGTGTGTGTGTGTGTGTGTGTGTGTGTGTGTGTGTGTGTGTGTGTGTGTGTGTGTGTGTGTGTGTGTGTGTGTGTGTGTGCATGTGTGTGCATGTGCATGCTTGTGTCTGTGCTCTTTGTAGCTTTCTCTCTCTTGCCGCTTCTTCTTCAATGGGAAGCTTTCCTCATGCTCTCTCATTCTTAGTGTGTCTTGATCATACTAAGTTACCTTCTGGGAGGATGTGAGCTAACCTGGACACTTGTGTGAATGCATGTGTGCATGCCTGTGTGCGCCAGTGTGTGTGTGTGTGTGTGTGTGTGTGTGTGTGTGTGTGTGTGTGTGTGTGTGTGTGTGTGTGTGTGTGTGTGTGTGTGTGTGTGTGTGTGTGTGTGTGTGTGTGTGTGTGTGTGTGTGTCCCCATATGGTGCAGTGGTATGTGCAGTCGATTTCCAATCGAGAGGTTGCGGGTTCAATTCCCGACGATTATGGTCGCACATGTCTTTCTTCTCTTTCTCATTCTCCCAGCTCTTCTTTCATTCTCCTGGGTGGTTACCAACAGCCAGTGTATGCCGGAGTATGTGGTGTGGCGTGTGTGTGTGTGAAAAAAAAGAAGAAAAAAAAGAAAAATAGGGATTCGCTGGCCAGAAAAAGCAACTTCAATCAGCTGTGTGGTGGATACCAGGCTAAAATTAATGGCGATCAATTCATCAGCCTTGCAAGCTGTGGAATGGTGTAATCCCAGCACAAGTTGCTATGTCTAACATAGCTGTTTGCTATCATCGCTTTCCGCGATGGGCAGGTCTGAGGTCTGAGGTGTGTGTGTGGGTGCGTGCATGCGTGCGTGTGTCTGCATGCATGCGCGCGTGGGTGGGTGTGGATGTGTGCGCATGGGTATATCCGTCGGTGTACTCTCTCCAAGTGGTCACCGCCGCAGGGACTTGTAGAGTTTAGTACCATATTTTCCAGAGTACAACCCACACTGGAGTACAACCCACACCCTCCATTTCTTGTCAAGAAGTACAGACGTCTGACCAATTTTATCACCGTTAATTTCATCATCAGAGTAGAAGCCTTGCCCCCCCCCCCCCCCCCTGCGGTAAATTTTGAGTGTTCGAAGTGCGGCTTATACTCCCAAAAATAATTTAGTTCATGTCAAACCACAGCTTTGGATCAAACCCGGGGGGGGGGGGGCTGACCGGGTACGCCATTTGGTGCAATGAACAGGATCTGAACATTGTGTTGCTGTCAACGAGAGAGACAGTGAAATGACATTGTCATGCCCTGCTCGTTCGAGTGGACAAGCAGAATGGATTTCCACTGCCCGATCCACAAGCAACTGGACTTCTACATATCTCAAGGAAATCAATGATGGGGTATGTTTGTTCTTTAGCTGTCTCTTTGTGATTGTCTGTTGGAAGACAATTTAGTGGCATTGCCCGGTGTAGTGGCATCGTGTACCAATGTGGTTTGATTCACTTGGTCTGGACATGTGCATTTCGCAACTGCAGTTGCAGAGCGACGCCAAGTAGAGTGTCGCACATGAGATGGTGTTGAATGCCTTCGACATATCTGTTCCAATAATGTCGTACTTCTGCTTTAACGTTAGGTGTTGGCATCAAGCTATAGCCCAACGATCGGACCAGATTACGTCCTCAGTGTTCAAGTTCTCTTAGGCCTGAAACCGCTTTGGGTGGGAGATAGGAATTGCTGTCACGATTTTGCTGCTGATACGGGACAATGCTACTAGCAACAACACCAGCGACGCCACTAACAGAAGCCCAGGTCTCCAATTATAGCCCCAATAATGACCCGGGATGAGGATTGTTTGAAATAATAAGAACACAGTCTGCAAAGCACATACCCTAATAACACACATAAGCACATGCGCTTAGAAGTGAATTTTTGCTACGAATCCAATTTTCAAATATGAATTTTTTTCGCCTAAACGCGCATGCGCGATCAGAGTTCGTTTGCCAGAGTCTTTGTGTTTAACTAGGTCTTGTAGTGTCAGTTTCATGGTTCATGTATACTCTTTGCAGACTTTTATCTGTGATTGTGTCAAAGTGATAATCTTGGTGGTGCTTCGCCTATAAGAGCATGCGCTTATAGGTGAGAGTGTGCTTATATGCGAATACAGGCACATGCGCCAATATGTGCGTTACTGCGGTACTTATTGTAAGGGAGATTTTTGGTCTACTACTTCCTTCCTGGTGCCGGAGTTATTGTGACAGATCAGTTTTGACAATATTTTCTGAGTGTAGGTGGTTGAGAAAATCCGTCTTGATATGGACTTGATATAGACTGGACTTGACTTGATAGTGGAGCATCGAAAATATAAAATTACAATCTCCAATAGTAGCGCAGCGTCACTGAAATAATAAGAACCCCGGGGTCTTAGGCTGCCGCCGCACTAGGTAAAATACTAAAAAATATAAGCATGCTCTATAAATGCCGCTTTTTGGTATAAGACGTCAAGGACACATACGGGAAATCTAATACGATCCATATATGTTTCAGCAAGTCGCGGACCCCTGTATACGGTATAAGCAGCTTTTTCTTCAAGTACCGTATCTTTTGAATTTCATGCACCTCACCTCACATGACGTTTTTTTCGCGGTGGGGCTGGAAAATGCATATGCAACTTGCAGTGCGACTGGTGGCTGTAATATACACATATTTTCACCTTTTACATGCGTATATTGTTTTTACCTAGTGCGGTTAAGTAACCGGTTGAGGCCTTATTACCATTACACACACAGCAAATAAAAGACGAATCAGTAAAATAAGCTACACTGTAGCACTGTAGCACCATAGCGTAATACATGTATGAAGAAGAAAAAAAATGAAAACTTTATATGAGCCGTGAAATCATCCCACAATGTTCTGGACGTGGACAAGCAACCAAAAAGGAGCAAATTGACAATGATTCTCACAGACGTGCTTTTTAGATAGGCCTTGACAGATTATGCTAATATTTTCGTGAAATAATGCTTTTCGCATTGCTGAAAAGATTGCAGAATTATGCTATTTTTATGCGAAAAGTTATCATATTATGCCGCATTATGCTCACATATGCTGCTAATGTATAATGGTTCTGTGCAAAATACCAGGGGAATTTTTTTGTAGAGGGCGTTGTACTGTAGTAGCAAAAGTTCAACGGGGTCAACGCACCGGCCGACCTAGCTACGACCGTCACCCTGGTCACTGATTGTAGTGGACTGGACATGTCACAAGTTATCAAGGGAGTCGTAATTTCTCGTAAACCTACGACTTCCTGGTGCATCTACTTGTACTTGTACTTGTAGAACATGTACGACTGTATGGAATTTGATGCGAACAGGCAGATTATTCCAATTTTATGCGATTCGTATGCAATTTGCCTCGAATTATGCGATTATTCGATTTTGGTAGGAATTACAGTTGAACATCGATTATCCGACCACCTCTGGGCAGACAACTGTCAGGCGGTGTTCAGATAAGGCAAATGTTCCGGATAAGAAAACACACTGTAAATACATGTACATGTACATTGTAAATAGAATAGAGTGCTACTTTTCAAAATTTTCGTATTTTTTGAATGGCTCACTACATGCACAGTGCGTACTCTACGGCACGTGCGCCCAAAAAAACTGTTACGGATACTCGAATGGTCGGATAGTCGATGTGCGGATAATCGATGTTCAACTGTATGCGAAAAATTATGCTAGCATAATCTGTCAAGGCCTATTTTTAGATATTGTGCATGTAATTTCACCGAGAGCGGGTATCCTTCCGATCCATTTTTTTTAACTCACTTACCGTTGTCCTATCTGATTCAAACTTTGTGTAAATGACCGTCAAGTACAAGCAGCACAATTCCAGTAAAAAAACAATTTTTTTATACATAATATGTCTCTTTTTGTTGATCACGGCTCACATAAAGTTTTCATTTTTTCTGTTTTTCTTCTTCATATTACGCTATGGTGCTATAATCTATCTCGAAGTTTCGGGCTTTCTGCCCGTGGTTCTTCGCTTTGCGACTAAACTACTTGCAGCGGTGCAAAATTATATGGGTCACTAAATGGGAGTCCCAGCGGCCTACAGGCAAACCAAGAATCAAATCAATGCGACCACTCATATTACAGCTGGGTCATGTTATAGACAAGTACATTGAAATTGACAGGTGGGCATAACTGGTAAAAATTGACAATTTCGCACCCGGTTTCTGCCCATTCCAAGTTCAAAAACTGACAGTGACAAACCTGATCTTGCTGAATAGCTGGGCAAAGGGAAGTGGACCGAGGAAAAAGCCATATTTCTCTAAACAACTCGCCCAGGGCTGCTGTAAGCTGAAAATAATCGTGCCGATCTCCAAGATTGAGGCTTTCTGCCTGTGGTTCTTCACTTTGCGACTAAACTATTTACGGCAGTGCCAACTTTTATGGGTTACTAAATGGGGGTGCCAGCGGCCTATAGGCAAACAAAAAAACGACCACTCACAGCTGGGTCATGTTATAGAAAGGTACATTGAAATTGACAGGTGGGCATAATTGGTCAAAAATTGACAATTTCGCACCTTTCTACCAGTTCCAAGCTCAAAGGCTGACAGTGACCATCCTGATCGTGGTGAATAGCTAGGCAAAAGGAAGTGGACAAAGAAAAAAGCCACATTTCTCTAAAAAATCTCGCCAGGGACTGCTGAAAGCCTGAAATAACTTCTCTCCAGATTTGATGCTTTTACTGTGGTTCTTCACTTTGTGACTAAACTATCAAGTTACAGCAGTGCAACATCTTATGGGTCG